CACTGCCTCCATTGGGTGTCCAAATCTGCCTGTAGCTTTTCCCTTTTCCCATATTAGAGGGACTGTGACCTGTGAGGGCCACTGAGCTAGTAAGTGGCAGACAGGTTGAGTCCCTGGCATCATTGGTTTCCCCGGGCATCTCAGGGTGGACCCCAGATTCCTGGTTGAATGATCTCACTCTGCATACCTGATGGTAAAGATGATCCATCAGGGCAACTTTAAGATGATGATGGTAACCTCCAGAGGACACGTGGACCGACCTGTTCATGAATTCTAGCTCGCTTCTGTCAGCTTCGTCTCGGAGGGCCTCAGTTTCCTGTTCTGTTAACTGAAAGTGATTGTTCCTGCCTAAAAAGGTTGCTGAGAGGATTAGGCAAGGTGACATACGTGAAGGAACCCAGCCCAGCACCTGGCAGGTGGGTCCCCACCAGATGCTGAGGAATTAGAATCTTATTTCGCTCTGAGGCTCGGCTGACTGCAGGGCCGTTCCTGTCCGTCCTCACTTTCAGGCTGATAGGAGGTTGAGCGCCCCTGGGCCACTTCTCCTTCAGCAGGGGACTTTTTTGTTTGATTTAACTACAGGTGATCTGTCTCCTCGGCCCAAACTGTCCACTCTCATTAACGGGAGGCCTCGGTGTGCCTTTTTGTTCTCCTGTCCCCACGTCCCTTCCTCCCTATGTCCAGGAACAATAGAAGTGAAAATGCAAAAGCAGCAGCTATTTGTGGTGCAGGGACCCCTCTTCCTATGGCCCTCTCTGGCCAGGGACCGTCCCACTGTCTGGTCTTAATGCTGCCCCGTCCCCCTGACCGTCAGCCACCAGAGCTGGAGTTTTGGGTAACCTGATTTCAATTTGATTGATTTCTATTGAGCAATTGGTCTGTAAAAGAGTCAGGCCTGCAACTTGAAATCTCTTTTAATTTCCCATTTACCACATCAGCCCCACATTGTCTACTGTATGTGATCAGAAACTTTTTCGGTTTTTTTCCCTTGTAAATTCCTGGTTGCTGCCACCACTGATTTCTTACGTCATACCTGTTTTCCTCTGTAGCAGAGGGGAGTGGGATGTGTGGTGTCATGGGTCTCCCAGAGACCCCCTGAATCTAACTCAGCAAACACACAGGTGAAAATGCAATAGTAGAGGCAACAGCAGTTCATGTCCAAAAAGATCCAGGGGTTTTAATGCCGTAGGTCCAACACTTGATTTGTTCAATGGCCATTTGTTCAATGATTGTCTACTCTGGGGAAGAAATTGTCCTAGAAAATGGGGTACCAACTTGATCTGATCTGGTCCTGCTCTTGAGAAGGTGTCTTGGGATAACTGGAGTGAGAGAGGACGCACAGACACCCAGTCTAGCCTGGGACAAGCCCAGCAAGGGTTTTACCAAATGAGGATGCTTAGCTGGAGTCTTGAAGGACAAAGGGGAGTTTGAAGAGGGGGTAAGGGAGGAAATGGGGATTCTAGGAGGAGGGAGTGGGGTGGCTGAAGAATCAGACTAAGGCAGGAGAAAAACGTGGCAGATTCAGAGACGTACAGGACCTTCACTCTTCCTGGTGGAGGGAGGGGTAAGCAGTGACGAGAGAGTCTGGAGAGGCGGGCTGGTGTGTGAGGACGGCTAAAACCAGGGTACAGATGTGGGTTCGGCTGCCTAGGGAAAGTGTGTGGAGTGAGAGAACACACTAAACCAGAACCCTTGCCAACAGCAACCCTCACAAGTTTGGGGAGGAGCCAGGAGGGGCTGCTGCGAGACAGAAGGAACTAGGCCAGGGAAGGAGGAGTTGCAGAGTGGGGTCAGCCAGGCAAAACCTGTTGCCCCAGAGAGGCAGGCAGGTTCGGCCAGGAAGTCCCTGTGGAAAGGGCAGCTGAGGAACCGGGCAGCTTGATTCTCTAGCATGCACTTCTTAAGTTCCGAGGGCCGTAGAATTACCCCAAAACTCTTCACTTAGAGGGTCACAGCAGGTGATATTGACGGGAACTGTTGAGTCTGCACGCAGTAGGTGCTGCATAATTGCTTGCAGTTCCATGATCGTCCTCATTGTGATTGGCTGCTCTGTTCCCATCTACCGTGGCATCTCGGTTTTTTCCCTCACTTTCCCTCAAGCAGGTCATCTTTTAAAATTGTAAGTTGCATTTCGTCACTTCTCTGCTTAAAAACCCTTCAGGATAAAGTCAGAGCTTGTGTGGGGTCCTGGGTGCCGTGGCCCCCGAAGCTCTCTTCAGCCTGGTCCCCTACCCTCTCCCTGACCACCCCGGCCTCCTTCCAGGTCCCCTCTCAGCCAGACCTCCTGCTGCTTAGGAGATGCCCCAGAGCCCCTCCCTGCCTCACCCCGCCAACCCTGCCCACCCCCAGTTCCCCACTGGAACAGCACTTCCTTGGGGGAGTGCAGACAGTCTTCCTGCTTGCCCTGCATCAGCCGCTGCTCCTGTAACTTCATGGACGTGTTTGTGTCCCCTGTTGCAGGGTGAGTTCTGCAAAAGCAGGGACCCTGCCTGTCCTGCCGCCCCAAGTCCCCCCTCCCCCACCCATCTGGGTTGATGTGGGCCACGGCTTGCTCAGCCATCTCTGACAGCTGAATGGCTGGGCTGATCCTGTCTTCTCATCCAAGGAGGAAGCCCTCTGTGCAGTCACCCAGGTGCACCTGTCGTCCGAGGTTCAGCCAACACGCCACCTCCTCTGCGAGCTTCCTGGAGCGGCTGCCGCACCGTGCAGATGTTCCGTGTCCTTAGTTAGGTGGGATGCACCTTCTTAGGGCTCTCGGGGCACAGCATTCTCGGGGTGTGTGTTCTTTCCCGGCTCCTGGAAAAGCCCTCGGTGTACAGCGGGTGCAGTGCCGACACCTGCCCCTGGCCAGCTTCTCGGGTGTGCGGCCAGTGCATCGCACAGGGCCCCGCGCTTGGTTTAACGCTCTGCCTCCGCTGTCGCCATCCTGAAATTCTTAATGATATTTGACAGGTCCCCCCATGGTTTTGCACCGGGCCCTGTACCTGCCTTGCGGGGGTGATGTGCGGGGCCACAAGAGAACCCTGGGATCTGTAGACCCCGGGGCCCAGCTCAGGGCGAGCCCTCTCTGCAGGGCCGCCTGTCACCATCTCAGCTCTGCTCACCCACAACCACAGTCAGTAACTCATTCTTCTGTTTGCTCAGCTTCGTTGACTAAGTGCTGTGGTCGGAGGCATCGATCAACTGCGTCAAATCCCTCTGCGGCTGATCGTCTCCCTCCCAGCGTTCCCGAACGCGGCCTGTCTTCAGAGGCACTGCTGGGGCTTGTCAGGTTTCTGGGCTGCACCCAAGGCCCACTGAACCAGACTCCCCGGAGCTGGGACTGTGAATCTGTATGGTTAGCAGTAGTGCCTGCATCTGTGCTGTGACGCGCAGAACGGAGCGTGAGAACCTTCGTCCAAGCGGATGAGCCCTTGGTGTGGCGTTTGGTGTCCTCTCGGTCTGGCCCCAGCTTTGTCTCCCGCAGGCAGCCTAACCCTGCAGCAGAGTCAGCTCTCCCTGACTGACGTGGCACCTGTCTCCTCCTATAAGACCGGCAGCCTCTGAGGCGGTGTCCCCAGAAGCCCCACCCGCCTGCTTTCGTGCTCACTCAGCACGTGGTTTTTATTCTCCGAGCACGTGTCCTGTCGCACAGTGGCTTGTTCCTGCCCCGTTGTCCCCCGAGCCTGAGAGCTCCTTGCAGGGGGTAGCTCACCTCTGCATCCTCAGTTCATCAGGATTGAGCCGTGGACACAGGACTCACGCTCAGCAAGGCCCCACTCCCTGGTCCAGCCGGCCGGCCGGTGGCACAGATGTTTGCTCCTCCGGGGCCTGTGGGAACAGGCCCTGCCCAGAGTCATTCTGGGAGGTCACGCATTTGTTGTGTGGAAAGGGCAGCGTGTAGAACGTGAGCTTTCTTTAGGTGATCATTACCCACCCCTCTTCCGTCTTAGAAATGACCGTGTGTGACCAGAGCTCAGGCCACTGAGCCACTTCAAACCAACCCCCAGTCACACCACGAAGAGGCAATTCTGTTGCTTTTGTCCCCCAGACCTGTTGGGTTTTAAATGGTTTTCCTGTAACCTTTCTTCTCGGCA